CACAAGTGTCCTTATGAGAGATATTCAGAGATTAAATACACACAGAAGAGGACCACGTGACCTCCATGTGACCATGGAGTCAGAAATTGGGGTGATGCAGCCACAAGTAAAGGAATGCCAGCAGTCACTAGAAGCTGGAAGAAACAAGGAACAAATTCTCCAGAGGGAATACGGCCCTTCCAACACTTTGATTTCAGCTCAATGAAACTGATTTCTAATTTCTGGCCTCCAGAACTGTGAAAGAGTATATTTCTGTTTTTGGTAAGCCATTCAATTATGGTAATTTGTTACAGCAGCCATGGGAAACTATATTATCCTAGAGCCTCATGCAGCTCTGCCTATGCCTTAATTTTAACCCATAAGACCCATCGTGGACTTCTCACATCCAGAACTGTAAGATAATATATCTGCATGGTCTCAAGGCACTAAATTTGTGGTACTCTGTTATAGTAGCAGTAGGAAACTAATACAGAGAACTTCTTCAACTTGATAAAGAGTATCTACGAAAATATGCAACTAACATTTAATGGTGAAAGACAATTTTTCCTCCTAAGATTGGGAACAAGGAAAGGATTCCACTATCACCAATCTTAAAGTGCTCAGAGTTCTAGCCAGTGCAACAAGGCAAGATAAGAAAAGGCATTCATAGCAGAAAGAAATAAATAAAATTGTCATGTGCAGATTACAGTAGTCTTCCCTTTTCCATTTGGGGATATATTCCAGAACCCCCAATAGATGTCTGAAATCTTGGATAGTACCAACCCTTACATACACTATGTTTTTTCCTATACACACATACACGTTAAAGCTTCTCTTTGGCATATTCAAATTGCCAGCATCACTACTCTTGCACTTCGGGGCCATTATTAGGTAAAATAAGATTTACTCAAACACAAACATTGTGATATCAAACCATTTGGGGATATATTCCAGAACCCCCAATAGATGCCTGAAATCTTGGGTAGTACCAACCCTTACATATACTATGTTTTTTCTATACATACATACACTTCATGCAGCTTCTCTTTGGCATATTCAAATTACCAACATCACTACTCTTGCACTTCGGGGCCATTATTAGGTAAAATAAGATTTACTCAAACACAAACATTGTGATATCAAACAGTCAATCTAATAACCCAGACTAAGTGATTAACTAGCAGGTAGAATATACAGTGTGGATACACTGGGCAAAGGGATGATTCACGTCCCAGGCAGGACAGAGTGAGACAGTTAGAATGACATATGCAATTTAAAATTTATGAATTGTTTATTTTTGGAATTTTCCATTTAATATTTTCGGACTGTGGTTGGCCATGGGAAACAATCACCACAGAAAGAGAAACCGTGGATAAGAGGGGACTATTGTACATGGTTGTCTGCATAGACAATTCCAAGGAACCTACAAAAAATATTATTAGAATAAATGAGTTAAGCAAGGTAGTAGGATACAAGATAAACGTATGAAAATCAATTGTATTTCTGTCTATTAGAAATGAACACATGGACACAATTTAAAATACAACACTATAATCACTCAAGAAAATGAAATCCTTTGGTATAAATCTAACAAAATATAGGACTGGTATGATGAAAACTACACAAAGCTAATGAAAGAACTCAACAAAGATCTAAAGAACTAAAGAAACATACCATGTTCAAGGATTGGAATACTCGGCATAGTAAAGATGTCAATTCTCTCACACTGATAACACAGGTTTAATATAACACCTATCAAAATCTCAGCAATATTTTTTGTAGTTCTAGACAAGCTTAGTATATAGAAGAAACTAAAATAGCTAAAACAACTTTGAAAAAGAATAAAGTGGGAAAATCAACCTACCCAATTTTAAGACTTATTATATAGCTACTGCAATCATTACTGTGTGGTATGGCAGAGAGACAGAGAGATAGATCAATGGAACAGAATAGACGATCAAGAAAGAGACTCATACAAACATGCCTGACTGATTTTTAACAAAGGTATAAAAACAATTCAATAGAGGAAAGAAAGCCTTTTCAATGAATGATGCTGGAGCAATAAGATGTCCACAGGCTGGAAAAAAAAAAAAAAGTACTTCAACCTAAGACTCACACTTTATATAAAAATTAACTTGAAATGGATCACAGACTTAAATGTAAAACATATAACTGTAAAACTTTTAGCAAAAAATATGGGAGAAAATCTTCAAGATCTAAGCCTAGGCAAAGAGTTCTTAGACTTCACACCCAAAGCACGATCCATAAAAATAAAACCTAATAAACTGGACTTAATCAAAATTATAATTTTTGTGCATCAAAGGACACCATCAAGAAAGTGAACAGACTATCTGTAGAACAGGAGAAAATGTTTGCAAATCATATATCTGACAAGGGTCTAGTATCCAGAATATATAAAGGTCTCTTAAAACAACAACAAAACAATCCAATTCACTCTACAGCCATGCCACCCTGAATAAGCCCGATCCCATCTGATCTCGGAAGCTAAGCAGGGTCGGGCCTGGTTAGTACTTGGATGGGAGACCACCTAAGAAGACCAGGTGCTGTTGTAGGCCTAAAAAATAAAACAAATAAAAGAAATAAGGGATTGTAAGGTCCTTGAAATCTAAGGTCAACCAAGGGTTGCCTCACCTTAAAAAAAAAAAAGAAAAAAGAAACAACAACCATAATCCAATTCAATAATGGGCAAAGAACCAAAATAGGCATTTCTCCAAAGAAGATATGTGAATGTCCAATAAGCACCTGAAAATATGTTCAATATCACTAGCTATTAGGAAAATGCAAGTCAAAACCACAATGAGATTCCACACACCCACTAAGAGGCCTACAATTAAAAAAAAAAAAAAAAAAGGAAAATAAGCGTTGGTGAAAATGTGGAGAAATTGAAAGCCTCATACATTGCTGGTGGGAATGTAAAATGGTGCAGCCACTCTGAAAACAACTATAGTGGTTTGTCAATAAATTAAACGTAAGAATTACTATATGACCCACCAATTCTACTCCTGGGTATATTCTACTTAAAAGCACTGAAAACAAGTGTTCAAACAAAAACTTGTATACAAACAAATATTCATAGCACCACCACTCACAAAAGCCAAAAAGTAAAAACAAACCAAATGTCCGTCAGCTACTTAATGGATAAATAAAATGTGGTATATCCATGGAATTTTATGTAGCCATTAAAAGGAATGAAGTATTGATACATGCTACAACATGATAAATCTTGATAAATCTTTAGAACATACTGACTGAAAGCAGCCAGTCACAGACCTCATTATGTGATTCTATTTATCTAGAGTCAGAAAATCCACTGAAACAAAAAGCAGATTATTGATCGCCAGGGTCTATGGGGAGGGAAGAATGAGAGGTGACTGCTTAATGGGTATGGAATTTCCTTCTCTTGTGATGAAAATGTTCTGGAATCAGACAGTAGTGACAGTTGTACAACATTGAATATGTACTAATTATCACTAAAGGTAAATTTTATGTGTATTTTATCACAATTTTAAATGTATATCCCTCAAACCACGTGCAGGATTGAATGGAACTATATTTCCTTGTTCAGGTCAGGATCCCTGTCTCTTCCATGTGGAAGCACAAGAAAATTAACTCAAAATTTCTAAGAAATCAACTGTTTCCTATTTTAATAAGTACAGAGCAAGGGTCTATTGTCAGCCCGGCGTCTGCACCCACCAGCCAAGCAGTCCTCTTCACAGGAATCCCTCCAAAGCACTTCTGCCTCTAAGATAATGAGGCTTCTAAAATGTGGACTTTAGAAAATTCAAATTAATTGTTGCAAATCAGAGAATCCATCTAGGTAAACTGTTTATTTAACAGACTCCCTTTCCTGGGCTTCTCCATCCTGGGGATGTCTAGCTACAAGATTAGAAATTTTGAATGGTCCAGGCCCTCCAGTTTTTCCAGTCATAGTAAATGTCACACTGTTGAACTGGCTGTGCCACCCATCTAGGCTCTACTGTCTAAAAAGGAAGTCAATTAGGAGGAGGACCTGGGCTAATGGAACTCAAATCCCTCTTCAGTTGGTTTTCCTAGATTAAGTGTGTTATGTTCAGCTTCCTACATCTCCTGAAATGCTGAGAACTCTGTTTCTCTTTACCTTACCTTGAAAGCGCATAAGTGAATTGCCATTTTCTCTTGTGCATTACAAAAAAGGGGGGTTGAATCTGAATGGAACATTACGTCATTTGAGCCCCTAGGTGGCCTGGTCTGCTGCAGTCACACTGAGAATGATGGTTTGGATCGCTGCAACCCCAGGACACAAGGCCGAGTCCTTTCAGAACATCTCGTTTGTGATGCCAAATGGGAGCCCATGACCAAAACTGCCAATTAAAGTCCCAGACTGGAAGTAGGAAGAAGGATGGAAGCTGTTCCACCTCTGTCAGGAAAGTGAGACTCATTTGCTAGAGAACAGGACCAAGGAAAGACCTGATCTAAGTCAGTCACTGACCTAACTGTTTGAGACTGAACTCTAGATACTCGAGAGAGCAATCCCATGAACTCTAAAACCTGTCCTCAACAGTATGCTTGCAGCAGCCAACCTCCAATTGTATCCAGCCCCGGAGTGCACATGCTTCAGACCCTGCAACAGAAGAGGAAGCTGAAGCTCTTACTATTTCTTGACTCCTCATTGTACCACTTAAAACTTTCAGGGAAATTTGGTCTGAGAAATGAGGCTCCTAATAATTTTTTGACCATGTCCAATCCCGAGCTGAATTGGACAAAACAAATTTCTAACTTCTGGAGGAGCTCTTATACTCACATTCTACATAATTCCACAGAGTTCTCAGGGCCCTCAGAAAGATGCTTTTACCTTTAGAAAAAACAATGCTAGCACCTGGGTCTCTTGGCTTCTCAGCTACTCACACTGAAGGGAGCATCTAGCCAGTGGAGAAAAAACTAGGGGCTTGTTGGCTTCTTAGCTAGTTGGGGGCTGAGGGCACAGGGCCTGGCCATAGCTGTAGCACAAGAACAGTGGTTTGCTTGCAGTTCACAAGTTTATTAGTGAAATTTATATGGGTTTGGGCCAGTCGGCGTTACATGAGTGATCACTACAGCTCTGGTGTTGGCTGCAGGAGAGGAGGAAGGCTTGCTGCTTTGTTGGTCACTGGTGATGTCACCCCAGGAAAATGATGGGCTTCTCTCCTGGGTCCAAGGTGCCAGGGCCTGCAGCTGGTGCTATCAAAGAGACTGTGCTTCTGTTTCAGGTGCCTGGCGTTGGGGGATGAGGGTTCTTAGGATCTCCGTGTAGTAGGGGCCAAATACCTGCTGATTGTGGTGCGTTAGGTTGACAAACTTTTGGCCCAGTTCTGCCAGTTCTGCCTCAATGAGAGTAAGGCCTCCAGGGAGATCTAACAGAGATCGCTGCACTCCAAGAACCAAACAGCATTTGAGAAACAAATGGATCCGCTGATCTATGAGCAGGAAAAGACAGTGAGAAGAGAAAGGGCAAACAGATTTCAGGGAGAAACAGTACCCCTGTACTCACTCAAGTTCTAAGTTAACTGAGATATTCACTAACCTGCCCACTTAGCTACAGATAAGGAAATTTGTTTTGTTTTGGGGGTAGGGGGCTGCTATCTAGCTCCCAAAGACAAAGCAAAGATCAAAAACTAATGGGCTAGGAAATTTTTGACTATTCTAAAGATTTCTTAAGTCTCCATCGGTTAGGTCCTACTGAGTATTTGACATAACACTATGCCACACCTAGAAGTCATGAATTCCTGGGTGCAAATCTTCTTTAGAACCACAGAGCTGGTCTTTAAGATATTTCAGTCAAGCATTTTGAAAAAACTAAAGCTTAAACAGTGACTTGCTCAATGATTATGGCTTTTATGTTGTTAAATGGTTCAGTAACTGACTTCTAGGGTTGGAATCTCTCCCCACCATGTTCTCACCACCCAAGGCATACTCACCAATGACACTGCGGACACAGTTCTCCTTCTTGGCAATGTTTTGGAGCTGTCCTATCAAAGATGCTGTGTTGTCACTGCTCAGAGAAACAAGGCCCATGTTCTTGAGGCTTTGATGGATTTCCTGAGATACCTGTTCACTCACAGTCATCAGCATAGCCTCCTCAGACCTAGACCACAAAGGAGAGTAAGCTGGTACCCACCAGGTGGGGCCCTGGCATAAGGCCACAGCCTGGGAAAGCTCCACACCAGAAGCCACTCGAGAAAGACTCCCAGACATCTTCCTACCCTTACCCCAGCCCCTGAAAGCACCAGAGGTCACTGGGTAGGTTCAGTGTCTTCACTCTTACCCTCAATATAGATATTATCAACTAATATCTATATATAATACCATGTCCTACTTCTTAGTAAACAAAATAAACTAAAATAAACTCTGGACAAGGGTTTGGTTCTGCTCTTGGATCGACTCAGTATTCTTTAGCCCCATGGAATCTGTGTATATGTAGATACATTTTTAAGACTTTCTTGGACATTTTCCATGGTCATTTGTGCTACTCTCACCAATTATAGTGACAATCCTGGCCTTCCGATTCCTTTGGTGTGATGCCCTACACACAGTGAACTTTCAATCAATATTGCTTACTGGTGATCAACTCCTAGATATACAGAGATGAGCCTACCATCATCCACTCAACCAGATAATAACTCCTTTGTAGCAAATAAAATAATGAACCATTTTATAGCAAATTATCCTCCACACTACTCTTTTTGGAAGACGGGTTTATTTTTCTTTGTCACAAGCCTCAAGACAACTTATGGAAAGACACCAACGACCTTTACAAATGATTCCAAAGGGCCTTTCTGTGGTTTGTGGTGGAATGTAAGCTATCATTCATTATCTGCCTATGTCTCCATACCAAATATCATCTACTTAAAAAAAAAATATCTGTGCAGCTCACCTGGAATTAAACTCCTCCATGAGGGCTTTGGTTATGCGTTTCAGCTTATCCACAAACTGAGGCGAGCCAAACAGAACACTGCCAGAGAAACTACTGGCCACTAGCAAAACTGAGGCCAGGATGGTTAACTGGTGCAACTGGGACTCCAGTTCCTGCAGCCGCGTTCTATCCATCAGCAGTGTCTGAGGAAGCAGGGAAGGACAGGCTGTCAGGAGAGGAGGGTCCTGGTGGAAGTCCTGAATGCAAAACAACAGGGTAATGCCCCACATAGCCCTACCTCAGGGAACTCTTCATTTTCAGGGTCCCAGAGAAGAAGGTTCAGGAAGCCCTGGGACAGCACCATAGCGGGGCTGAGGGGCTCTGGGTTGTTGGCTGCCTCATTGAGAGAGGTGCAGGCCACACTGGAGGAGTCAGGAGTGTCAGGGCAAGTTGGAGGCAGCATGGTGAGGTCTGCTACCGCTTGGGTGAGCCATTTGGTGGTGTGATCGAGGAGGCCTGTAACAGGAACAGAGTGTGTAAGCATCTTCGGCATCTGCATCCCTGAGGCTTCAAGACTATGGTTCTTTTCAAAATATACTCCTAATCAATAAATAAATGATTTGGGGGGTGGGGGTGTCTTTATGTCTTAGATAACTAACTGTTCCTTCTCCCTCTCCCTACTTGAGAAAATTTTTGTTCCTTAAAAGAGACAGAATACCCCTTAGCATCATAAAAGTCAGACCCAAGGTCGTACCTCCGCACACCTGCCCTCAAATTATATACATACTAGGCTGCTTGTTGAGAAGTTCCTGGAATTTAGCCCGTTCATGCTGGATGGAATGTTCCTGTAGGTGGGGTTGAAGGCTCTGGATAGTGTAGTTCACCATGTCCATTTTCATCAGGCCCAGAACCTGGAAGATCCCTCTAACATAAAGAGAAAATAGAATAGTTATACTATACAAGGAGTCATTAAATCACTGTATTGTAGAATTAGAAGGGGCTTTAGAACTAACTTAATCTTGCCTCCTAAATTTACAAAAGATGACATGTGGCCCAGTACCCAAGGCCCAGAGTGAGTGGCAGAGCTAGGAACAGATAAGTCTCTGGACCTTGAAGCCTATGAGCTAGATATCTTTCCACAACAATCATTCTGTTGTCTCTTTAAAAAGGTAGTCAGTGGGAAAAAACACCAGTATGCTAACAATTCTCTCTGGGAAGTGGGATTATAAGAGATGCTATTTCACTTTTTTTAACTTTCTGAGTCTTGGTTTCTATAGCTAGGAAATAGGGGTAGCCTCCCACTCCTGTCCCCTCGTATTGCGTGAACTACGATGAGAAAACTTGGGAAAGTGATGTTTGAACTCCTTGGAAAAAAAGATCACATATACTAATGTTTTATGGTAGGATGGTATACAGGGGGCCCAAACAATCTAAGGAAAACTAAAGGGCCCTGGCAAGGCCATCTTTGGAAAAGGAAAGCTAACAGGCCAGAGAGAAAGGAGTTTGTCAGGTTTTCAACAGGGAAGAGCCAGCCAACACGGGAGCTTTCGTCCAGTGTCCCGCCCAGCTTTTCCTTGCCCAGGGATCAAGTTTCACACCTCAGTAACCAAATAGAGTCTGTAACGTTCTCTAGTTTCTGGACTGCTTCATCTCGAACTGGTGCACACAGCAACGTCATGGTGTTGAGAATGTACTTAGAGAGATGCGGGACATTTAGGGCCCCATGTTCTGCTTCCTGCCTAAGGAGGTCCATGTCCAGAGCTTCTTCGATCTCATTTCTTAGGCGGTTCTGGCGTGGTAACAGCAGTGACAGCAAGATCTACCCAGGAAAGAAAAGTCAAAGAAGGAGTTGCATTCCGTTTAGAGCCCCAAACTTTCTCTAATGGACAACCCTTTAGATAAAGATATGCCAGCCTGTGTCTTTTAAGGATCAAGATATCGGGTTCCTAAATTTCCTAAGGAGTTCTATTTATCTTTGTTTAGGGGACAAGTAATAGTTCAAGGCTTTAGGAATTCAATTATCGCAATAATATACCATTTTCAGGGCAGAAAGAGATGAAGAGATAAAGGAGTGTGGTAAAAAGAAACACAGGTGCAACAAATTTAAAATACATACCATTACATGGGAATGAGGAACTCTTCGTTTCAAAAAGCAGGCATTTTTGAAATTTTACTTCAAAGGGCAAGGATAAAATAGGCAAGGGGACTGTTAAGAGTAACTGGAAATAGCTTGTTAACCCAAAAACATAAGCTCCCTATGATCAGAGACACTCCTTTATCTCTGTGCCTCTGTAATATACAAAACATGGTGGGGGGCAAGGGCTGGGATTCAATGAACATTTGTTTAACTGAATGGAGTACTGGTGTTGTCATAGCAAGATCCCATCTGTTTAGCTTCATCTTGAACAAATAAAATGCAAGTTGCTCCTTATTATCTATTTAAATGGTAAACTATGCCAGTTATCAATTTGGAGCCTCTCAGTTCCAAGTCTACCCTTCAGTGCCTACTCTGAAAATGGAGCCAGACCCTTTATATATTTTTGCTTTGCTGGCTGGCACAATGTTAAGTTTTGTTAGTAGAGGATGCTAAAGAGGTCCTCCTTCTTGGTTCTGGTGTGCTCCACCTCAGCAAGCTCCCGCAGCACCAGCTTCTCTTTGTTCAAATTACTGCCTAGTTTCTTTCTCCTGACTGGACCCTGACTGATACAAAATTGGTACCATGAGTGAGGTTCAAATTCAAATGGCTATATGTCCACTGGATCTGATGAGCAGGAAGTAGCAAGTATTTTAGATGCCTTAGAAAGACATGCGAACTAGAGGGACAGATAATCCCCACAAAAATTCAGTGGCCCTTCACCTCAGTGAAGTTGCCCAAGCTTCAGTGGTCTAGACCTTGTCAAGCTATCCCCTCCGAGGTGAAAGACAAACTGCTGTACCTCAAACCACCCACCATGGAAGAAAAAGACACTTAAAGGCCTTTTTGGGTTTTCAATGCGACCTACACCACATTTGAGTTTTATGGATGAAAAAGGGGCTCTGTGATCAATCTACAAGTCAAGTGACAGAAACTAACCTCGCAGGGTGATCTGATCATAATTGCTAACTCGGAAGGTCATGGGGTAGTCACCACTGAGGCATATAACTTCTTTAGTAAAAGGTTTCTCTTTGCCTTAAGCCAGCCCTGTCCATTGTTCTTATGTATCTAGGTTAACACATCCTTGAAATGCCAGAGTAATCCTTTTTCAGGACCCCTCAAGGGAGTACGTAATCAAATCATGTTAAATATAATCTTCCTTACATTCTCTCATTCTAAATGTATAAAACAAACTGCAAAAAAAAGTAAAATAAAAGTTAAAAAATAAAAAATAAAAGAAACTGCAAAACTGTCATCCTCTGGAGCACTGAAGATCTTGCTTCCTGGCATGTTGTCAGTTTGGCTCAAATAAACTCAAACTCTTATAAAAATTCTTCACAGGTTTAAATGTTCTTACCTGACACTCATTTAGAGTCACTCACGAGGTTGCCAATTTCAAGTGGAACCAGAGCCAGAGTAGGCTCTGCCCCAAGTTCAGGCTGCCATACAAGCCACTCTACCACTTGAGCCTTATGACCCAGCAGGTTCAATGATATCTGAAGCATTTATGGCAAGTAAGGATGACACAGAGAGCCTCTGGCAAGTACCAGTAGCAGCATCACAACACAGATCTCTAGGATTTTGGAGTAAATCTATACCCTCTTCTGAAGATAACTATTTGCCTTTTGAGAAAGTGTCTGGCTTGCTCCTAGGCCTTGGCAGAAAAGTAAACACCTCATCACAGGACCCTGGGTGACCACATGGTCTGAGCTTCCCTTGTGGAACTAGGTGTTTGTTGTCTGATCTACATAGCTATAAGATTGGACAATCCAGGAGTTCAAATGTGTGTAGAAGCGTGCACATGAAAGCTCAGTGGCCGAAGGAGTGGAATGTGACATTTATCAATTTCTCTCTCAGCTCCAAATCCATTCTCTTTTTCTCTTCTCTGAAAAAACGAAGTCCCTTTAGTTTTCCTTTACCAGATGGTAAATTTTAAGCTTCATCTGTAGAAGACACTATTAGTTTTCTGTGCTGCATAACAAACTTAAGAGAGACTTAAAACAGCATATACATTTATTATCTCACAGCTTTAACTGGGTCTTCTGTTCAGGGTCTCACAGGCTATACTCAAGGTGGTGGCTGTGCTGCAATCTTATTTGGAAGCTTGACTGGGGAACAATCTGTTACCAAACTCATTCAAATTGTTGGCTGAATTCATTTCCTTACAGCTGTATACTTGAGGACCCCAGCTTCTTATTGAGTGTCAGTGGGACGCTGGTCCTAGAGGCCACCTGCATTTCTTTGCCATGCGGCCCCTCTCCATAGGCAGTTCACAACATACCTGTTTGCTTCATCAAGGCCAGCAGGAGACTCATTCTCTTCAGGCTGCTAAGACAGAGTCTTACATAATGAAATGTGACATCTCATCACCTTTGCCATATTCCATTGGTTAAGAGACAGGTTACAGATCTTGTCCACACTCAAGGACAGAGAATTATATCAGGGTGTAGATCACTGGGGGGTTACCTTCGGGTGTGTCTATCACATGCTAGAAAGACATTACAAAAGGCAAAAGCTTTTCTTTCTGGTTCTGGAATGCTCACTTGGCAAGCTCCTGCAGTATGCGTGGCTTTGCTGGCAGCCAGCTTCTACAGCCTGAGTGGCTTCTCTAGTGCCAGGCTCCCGAAGCACAGATGGGTGCTCCAGCACCTAGCTCCTGCAGTGTACGGTGGCCAGCAGCACACAAAAGCCAGCAACTTCCCCTGGCACAGCTTTGCCCTCTAAAATGAGTCCTTGGGAGTCCTACATCAGCCCTAGGGGTATAGTGGGTTCTTCTTATATCTGATATACCAGTATTCTTTAGAGTTCTCTTTGCTTCTTACTAGTCCAAAGACACCATTTCTCCAATTCCCTGTTATAATAATTTTTATAACAAAACTTCCTTGTTGAAATTACTGTGTGACTTCTATCTACTGATTAGATTCTGTCTGATTCATGGATCATGCTCAGTTAGGATTTGCTAGCCACTGACATTCAAATGAACTGGAGATGTCTAGGAACTTTATATCTACAAATGGAAGGTTGGTCACCTACCTCTTTAATTTCTTTTAGAAGTTCAAGAGCACAGCTGAAGTCTGGGGGAGTAGCTGATAGCTGCTCTTTAAGATGATCCCAAAAGGCATTGTGCATTTTCTCCTTGACCTTGCCTTCCAGACTGTAAGAAGGTTAAATAAGTGAATTATTTTCTCTATCTAAAAACTGCCATAAGGTCATTATTTCCTAAGCCCCAAATACCCTCTGATATCATAGAAGACCATTATACTGACAGGGGAAGGCCAGAAACTGTATTTGAACTGCAACAGAGTTGAACAAGCTGGGGTTATACTTGGGTGTCAAAGGCATCAACAAAACCTCTCAGAAGTGCTCCTTACAGTTCCAGAACAGCGCTTCCTATGCAGCAGGGAGAACCGTGAGCTTTTAGCACTGATTTTGCATCTAGCTTAGTTTTCATTTATGTATAAATATAGCAATAAACTAAATGATCTTTCATTTTCTTATAGACCTAAAATGAAAGAAAGAATTTTCCTTCTTTGGCAATACCTGAATACTCATATTTATTTATTTCTAAATCAGTAGGTCTAAAATTGAATTCACTCTCTTCCCCCTACAAACTTGTTCCTCCTATATTCTCAGTCTCAGCGGTATCACCATGTAGCCAGTCATGGAAGCCAGAAAGATCTGTCTTTTTTCTCCTTAGAAAATCAGGAGAAGTAAAGGTAATTCAATCTAGAAAGGACAGTCTTTTCAACAAATGGTGCTGGAACAACTGGATATCATATGCAAAAATATGACTCTAGACACAGATCTTATACCTTCCACAAATGGATCATAGACCTAAATGTAAAATGTGAAATTATAAAATTTCTAGAAAATAACAGAAAATCTAGTGACCTTGGGCATGATAATTACTTTTAAATACAATACCAAAAACAAGATCAAAGAAAGAAAACATTGGTAAGTTGAACTACATTAAAATTAAAAACTTCTGGTCTATGAGAGACACTGTTAAGAGAACAAGCCACAGACGATCTTTGCTAAACACATATCAGACAAAGGGCTGTTATCCAAAATATACAAAGAACTCCTGAAGCTCGATAAAATCCAATTTTAAAATGAGAAAAGACCTGAACAGACACCTCAGCAAAGTAGATATACAAATGGCAAATAAGCATGTGAAAAGATACTCATCATTATATATCCTTAGGGAACTGCAAATTAAAATAAAGATGAGATACCCCTACTCCAAAATCCAAAACACTAACAACACCAAATGTTGATGAGGATGTGGAACAGCATGAACTCTCATTCATTGCCGGTGGGAATGCAAAATGATACAGCCACTCTGGAAGAGGGTTTGGCAGTTTCTTACAAAGCTAAACATACTCTTGCCATACGATCCAGCAATCATGCTCCTTGGTATTTACTCAGGCGAGCTGAAAACTTATGCCCACACAAAAACCTGCAAATGGAGGTTTATAGCAGCTTTATTCACAACTGCCAAAACTGGGAAGCAACTAAGGTATCATTCTGTAGGTGAGTGGATAAACTTACAGACAATGGAATATTAATCAGTGCTGAAAAGGAATGAGCTAGCAAGACCCTAAAATACATGGAAGAATCTTAAATGCACACTGCTAAGTGAAAGAAGCCAATCTGAAAAAGACTACATACATACTATATGAGTCCAACTATAGGACATTCTGGAAGCCTATGGAGACAGTGGTTGCCAAGGATTTGGGAGGGAGAAAGGAACAGAAGGATGGATAGGTAGAGAACAGTGGACTTTTAGGGCAGTGAAATTACTCTGCATGATATAGTAATGGTGAATATGTCATTATACGTTTTTAAAACCCATAGAATGTACAACACAAAAAGTTAACCCCAAAGTAAACTATTGACTTAATAAAGATGTGTTAATACTGGATAATCAATTATACAAATGTACCACACTAGTACAAGATGTAAATGATAGGGGGAACTGTGCACAGGGGAACTCTGTACTTTCTGATCATTTTTCTGTAGAACTAAAACTACTCTTAAAAAATTAAGACAACTGAAAAAACTACAGGAATTATTTTTTTCTCTGAATGTTTATTTAAATGATGTCTTCGTCCCACAGAGTTAGACTAATAAGAAGAAAAAGAACTATTTGAAAATTCTGAGGCTGTATCTAATAATTTCCAAATAGCTATTGGTTTTCTTGAATTAAACATCTCCTCCTTTAAAAACAAACAAACAAACAACTAACAGTAGTACTGCATGCTCCTTGTAAAAAGAAAAAAAAGCAATACAAAGATGAATAAAACAAGTCAAAGTTCCTCTGTCAACACACAAATCTCCATCATCAGAGGTAACCAACTATAATCTAATGGTCCAGTGTACACTGGAATTGTTCTTAACTCTTCTCCTATTTATCGGTCTATCCCCAAAGTTGCATCAGTTTTGATTCTTAAATGTCTCTGGAATGTATTCTTTCCTATTATCATCTCTTACCTGGACTACTGCCATAGTCTATTAACTTGCCTCCCTGCCTTCGGTTCTGTCTCTTTCTAATCAGTAACTCCACCAATTCACTCTAAAATCAATGATTTTTCTAAGATGCAACTGCGTTCATGATATCATGCCTATTTAAAGTCCTTTAAGGGCTTTCCATCACTACCAGCATAAATGGCTTATACTGTATAACCCTTCCTGATAGTACTCTGCCTCCTTTCTAATTTATCTCCTCCTACCTCATAATATCTTGTGTTCAACTATACCAAGCTGTTTGTAAAGAACACAGCATATTCTACCACCACTCTGTGCCTACAACATGTTTCCTCTGCTTGGAGCATCCTTTTCAACCCATACCACTTGGAAAGCACCTGTTCATCCTCTAAAACTCAATTCAAGTCTTCATGGGCAAAATCTTCTTCCATGGGCAAATCTTCTCTGATCCTCCTTAGGCAGCTGATTACTCTCATTAAACTCTATACACACACCTATAAGTTAGTTTATCAGTCACTGTCTCCCCTATGAAAGCTTCCTGATAGCAAAGACAGTGCCTTACTTGTCTATAGCTACAGCTACGGCTATATCTCTCCCCAGCACTCAGCATTTTCTTGCCACATAATAAGGACTCAGTAAAATGCCTGATGAATGAATGCCCAAACATCCTTTAGGATCCCACAATTGTAATTAATGTCATCTTATGAGCCTAAAGTAAGGCCAACTGCCAATAATGAATAAATTCTATTTCAACCTTTTTCCAGGGATAAATTCTGTATGACCTTACTTGAAAATCCAGCTCTGAATAGTACTGTTTCCCCTGCTTCGTTTCTTTCTTTCTCATTTCCTCTACTCCCCACCACCCCTCTAGCAGACCTTCACTCTCCCGGTTTCATTTTTCTTTTTTCCTGCCAGCAACAAACATATCTAAGCAATGAGGCACTAGATCTGAATTTAGGTGAAAACCTGTTCCCGGAGGAGCTATGCTTGGTATGGACACCTACTGGCACCAGGCAAGGGCAAATGAGAGCATGAAGACCCAGGTAGCAACTTGTGACAGAGAAGAGTACTTTAGTAACAGATTCCCTGAAGTTGCCAAATAACAAAAGCATTTAAAAAACCTGACCAATCACAAGCTGCCATTTATTTGGCTATTGGTGGGAAATTAGAACTGTTTTAAAATGTAAAATCTGATGGTGAATTTACCCACTTAACTGCCAATAAGCCACCAGAGCCATTCAATTCGTACTTACTGAAGGGTTCTATTTATTTATTGAGATGTGAACAGAACCGAGAAGAATCAAAAAAAACTTGTTCAAGGTGGGTGAGTATTATATATCAACAGGGTTCTGGTCCTAATTCATAAATTTACCTGATTATGAAACCAGGAGAAAAAAAAAAAAGAGTTAAAAAATGCCACTACAAGAAAATTAACCTTTTAATCTGTACCTGTCTAATCTGTGATTACTTAAGAGAGTAAATGATAGGAGCTATGTGTAGGCAGCTGATAAAATGATCCCAAAGATATACAGTTCCTGGTGGTATTCACACCTTGGTGTAATTCCATTCCCTGGAGTGTGGGCTGATTTAGTGACTCCCTTCTAGGGAACAGAAAGTAGCAGAGGCATGGGTTATCACTTCTGAGGTTAGGTAACAAAAAGACTGTAGTTTCCATCTTGGGCACTGACTCTCACACTCTCATTCTCCTGCTCTTACTCTGAATAAGGAAAGCCAGCTGCCATGTTGTGAGCTGCCCTATGGAGAGGTCCAAGTGGCAAGGAGCTGAGGGAGGCTCTGGCCACCACTCAACAAACTGACCGCAACATTATGAGAGACCTTGAGTCAGAGGCACACAATTAAACCATGCCCATATTTCTGACCCACAGAAACTGAGATAATGAACATTGTTTCAGCTGCTGAGTTTTGGAGAAATTTGTTATGCAGCAATAGACAGCTTACTCCAGGGTACCTCCTCCTCATCTGTCAGAGAAGATCTGAAATCCACTGTTTATATTTTATTGACTGGGGTCCCGAAGTGAACATTCCAACAGTTGCTTTGGTTTATTCACTGATTAAATAACATTTGCTTCTTGACTCTCTGATACTAATAAAACTGATTACTCTTCTGTTTACGTTGTTGAGACCTCTTAAGGCTTATATTCAAACATTGATCATACTATTAAATAAAAATGCTTCAAGTCTGGTCCAGAACCATTAGTGCTAAATACCTAGGCCAGGATGAAAAAGAAAAAAGGGAAAATTAGGAGCCTGTACCTGCTCTGAGGTAAAACCTCTTCCATGTGGAAATCACGATTCATCCCAGTCTCGTTGCTCATCTTGGAAACGTCATTAACTGTATCTATCAGACCTGTGACAGAAAGAACTACGGTATACAACAGTGAACCCACACAAGTCTGAATTTCTGTTTTATTCAGAGATTCACTCTACTGAGTAGGCCCCAAATTTGAATTCAAACTGATATTACACAAACTCATTCAACCATTCCAATCATATACGTTCTGAATTCCAGGCCCTGTGACTGTGCCTCTCACAGTAGTCAAGCATGGGGGTAAGGAAGGACAAAGTTATTTTATAAAAAACATAATGTGAAACTGATTAAAACTTTTCTCTTACAAAGTAAATTAAGCAGCAAAGAAACAATTTATTCACAAAATAAACATTTTTTATAATAAATAAATATTATGATTCCACACTTCTCTTCCTGCCTCTGAGAGTTAAATTCTCCACACACATAGTACTGAATGGTGCCAATGTCATTTGGTCTTCTAAAGCAGTAGTTCTCAGATTTTAGAATTTTGCAGCATAATTAAATTTTCAAAAAGATTCTGAGCAACTGACAACTTGCCAGTTTTTTTTGTTTGGCCAAGTATGGACAGTGAAACATGCAAATAAGTGAATTAAAAAAAATCCACTCTACCACTACCAAAACCGTCATTTCATAAAAGAAAGAATAGTGCAACCTCCAAAAGAGCAGAAAGGGAATAGTGTCAGAATAAAGAGTAATCCTTTAAATAGAATCGATGTAGCTTGAGGAAAAATTCATTATAATATCTTTATTTCATTTTACTAAATATTGCTGAGAATTCTGTCACAAACCAGCATTTGGGAACCACTGTTCTAAGTTTTTATTAAAGACCTAGCTGATACCATTTTCACGTAATAGGCATGTATGGTAATTATAATGATTACTTGGCATATAAAACAAAGTTGCACACATAAATCATATTTTCTCACTTTCTTTCAATGAAGCTTTATTCGTTCACAGGAAAGTATTTGGCTCCAAGATGTGGAGGAGATATAAATAAACTAAGATCTGGCCACGACTTGATCATTGTTGAAGCGGCATGATGATTAAATGGGAGTTCGTTAGATCAGCCTCTCTGCTTTGTAAACATTAAAGTTTTCCATTACTAAAAAGATTTAATAACGTAAAAAGGAAAAACTTATTGTAGAAAAGAGGTTACACAGAATGCCTTTGTTCTTAGAAGATACATGATGAAGTTTTTAGAGGTAAAGTCATGACTCATACTCTCAGTAAGAGAAAAAAATAGAGAGAAAGCACGCACAACGAGTCTCTGCTTAGGTAAACATAAAGGTGAATTGAACTTTAGGTGGATAGCTGAAGTTCCCTTTTTGCAGCCTCTCCAAAGTCTTTAGTTCCAGCCAAAATGGTAAAACACAGTTAAATATGTAAATGGACTTACCACTAATTCACTAATTTGAAATGAGAACTAAAAGAAAATCTTCAGAGACTGAGCTATAGCAGCTTATTGAAGACTGATGAAAATATTATACACAGAAACACTTTCCAACTACAACAAACCAAAGTTCGCAGCCTGCTTTGACGAGATTGTTTTGTTGGTCACCATAGCACTATGCAACTGCAACAGCTGTAAAATTCAGGAGAGGGTTCAAAGAGAATTTAGAAGTAAAATGCAACTGAGGTAGATTTAAAAAATCCATATCCCAAGGACAAAGAAATTTTTAAGATAATATATAACATCTAAAATTAAAAATTTATTTTCTCGAAAAGAGGAATTTGGTATTTTGTGCAGAGTTGTTTTACCTATGGATTTATTTAAATAGCCATCTCAAGAACTTAAATTGTTTTAATTGTATTTACAAAAAAAAATGACTTTCACCCCACATCGGGTTCATATCTACTGAATACCTATTCCAAATAGGGATTACGAAGCACCCAATTTGCCACTTTAGTGACAGTCCGTTAACCAGCAGCGACCCCACGTGGCTACAAGAGAAACAAATATAATTCAGCTTGGTACCATGACCTTGAAATAATTTTTCCCATTTCAATCTTCAAGAATGTGCCTAAGTCTTCAGATTGATGACTGGTTAAATTCTCAGGAGATTATAAGAGAAGTGCAGGGTGAATCCCAGTGAGACTAGACCAACCAAAGTAACCTTGAGCCCCAACAGGAACATAAAAGAACATCTACTATAGTATAAGAGCCCAACAATGAGCTCAGGGCAGTATGACTTCTTGAGACAATGAAGCCCAGGAAGAACACAATCTGGGGTCATTTGGGTTCTTTAAAATCCCATCTGGGGTCATTTGGGTTCTTTAAAATCTACCGCAGATGTCTCTCATTTTCTACCTACGAATTCAAAATGCAATAACAACAAAGATGGCTTTGAACTGACTCAGCTTGAAATCTTGCCAGATTCAAGTAATCACGCTTAGGTCACTTCTTGCTCTAGGACCAAAAACTCTTTGAAGACTTGTGGTCAATAGGGGGCCTAGAGATTGGGGTGGAGGGGAGAAGAAGGGAAAACCATAAGAAGAGAGAGAGGATGGAGAACTGCGGAGCCACAGAGGCTGCTGGCTCTTAAATGGCTCCTTCCAACCTGACCCACACTAAGCATCCCTGAGGGGAGACAGGGCCGCCAGGGATGAACCTACGGGGAGGATGGTCCTCGAGGTTGCTCTTGTCCTCCTGGGTCGGTCCTGGTGTTTCGAGCTTACAGGGGCCGCTCTCTGCATCGCCAGGGTCCTTCAGGGGCACATTCTCCTCGATGTACAGCATTTTGTTGACGGAACCTGGGTGGGGGAGAAATGGCACGTTGTTGACGTCGGGGCAGCTGGGCTCTCCAACTGCCGAGAGATGACTGAGGCCCGGCCCGTTGCGTCCGACCTGAACAACCCAAAAGAGGGCAACTTCAAGGTCGCTCAGGGGACAGACAGGAACAAAGGAGCCTGGAGGAGGAGAGACGAGAGATCAGAGTGAAGTCCAGCATTAGACGCGCAACAAGGACACTGAGGCCAGGGGAGCCGTGGCACAGGGCGGGCGCGCGGGGCAGGGCCCTTCCTCCGCCCACTGGATGACCTCCTCGCCCGAAACGCCCTCCCCAGGCCCGCTCGGTTCCGGGCCTCTCACCTTCTCCCTGGTGACCGGCCCCCTACTCCCGAGTGGGCGCTGTGGCCGCGCAGCCTCAAGCTCGGGCTGTACCACCGCGGCGGGGCGGCGGGGGCGCGAGGCCGGGAGGGGCCAGACGGCGACGCGCAGGCGACGAGGCCGACCCCGCGATCACCCCTGCTCGCGACGCCACGGGCCCTCGGTGGGAGAGTCCGAGATTTGAAAACAAACCTTTGCCCGTCTCCTGGGGCAACGGGGCGGGGTCACGTGCTGGTCTCAGAGCTCGCAGCCCGCCTGGCACCTGGGGGTAGAAACAACGGCTCATGACTGGGTCGTCGTGGGTGCGAAGCGCCCTCCAGGCCTCTGATTCCATGGTCGCTGGGGCCTGCCCGTTCCTGACATCTCCCGCCCCCACGACAAAGATCACCTGGAACTACTTAGGAAGGGAAGGAGCAATATGTTTTCTTTCTCTCTAGGCTGTTTCAAATCCTGGGAAGCACAGAACCACACCCAGGAGGGTTATTGCTTTAGCACATTCTGGGCACATTAAGAAGGGCCCCTCTCTCATTCTACAGGTGTGGAAACCTAGAGACTTGGTTCTCCCAGTTGCTGCTGGTCAGCGGGAGGCCTGCGGGCTGGGAGGCAGTGTGTGCTCATCGGTGACCTGGTGCTGGGCCTCCAGCTAACTGGCTCCAGGTCACGGGCTTTTTCTCGGTCCTGGCTGTTTTGTTGCCCCTGAAGTGATGTTTGGACCTGGAATGACACCCACTTCCCCTCCAATCCCTGCACTTTCGGGGAGGGCGGGGGTTGGGGGTGATATGAAAAGGAAGTTTCCACTCCATATTTTCCCATCCTTCTTTATTACTCTGACTTGATTTCTTACCATAAAAGCCTACTTTAAAAATAAATAAATAAATAAATAAAGATGAAAGTATTGCCTGTAAGAAACTAAGTTCTCATTATAACCCTTGCCTTGTTAGTGTGGAATGTGATTTTTTTTTCTTGCACAACTTGTGCATTTTGAAAGGAAAAATGAAGTGTCCCAAGAACATTTCTGCTTAAGAAAGTCCACTCAGCTCTGAGGCTCAGGCAGTTATGAGGGGAATGACCTAGTAAAGTTGCTGTTTAGCCAGAGAGTATCTCAGAGCAATACATACTAAACCTGCCCCTTATTCCTCACCCCTTCCTGATATTTCCCTCGGATGTCAACTATGAAGCAGGCTAGCCTTCACCACAACCTAGGAGAAGTGGGAGGAACTTGTATGACTTCAGCAAGAAGTTCAATGAAAATATGATTCTTCGTTTTTACATAAGGAGATATTTAGGTTAGGTTGTTGATTTCTTTTTTTTTTAAATCCAGAACTCTATTTGGAGTTTTTATTTCTGGGAGAAATTTTCCAGAATGACACAAGTTCTTCTCCCCACAAAAAGTGGCATTGCCATAAAACTCTCCCTGCTGATGCCTGAAATTACTCAAACAGGTCATTCATATACATTACACAGCCTCTTTAAGTGTCTTTTTAATACCCGCATTCTCTGGAACGGGCAGTGGGGACAGTAGGAAGATATAGTGGTGTGGGAGCACATGGTGGGTGTGGGGGAACTGAAACCAGAAGAGGGGTGAAGGATGAGGTAGGAGAGAAATACAGAATTAGTGTTTTCCCAGAGTCAGTCCAGGGGCAGTATCTCAGGATCTTTGTCTTTAATATACCAGAACTAACTAGGCAAAGTTAAAAGCTGAGGGAAATAGAAAGATGATGTGAGAGATATACCCTCCTTGCCTTTGGGGTCTTAGTTAATAATAACTGATTTTTGTTTAATGATTTACGAAATGCTTTTACATTGCAAATCCATATGCTCTGTACACAATTCTACCTGTTCAGTAGGCAAGATGGGTGTTATTTTGGACCATTTAATAGATGAGCAAATAGATGAACAAAAATCAGAGCGATTTCAAGGAGTTATCAAAAGTCACATGGTGAGCAAATTCTTGACTCTTTGATGCAGGACAGGGCAAATTCAGGGCACGGGGCAGTGACGGGGGAGCGGCAGGACTGAAGCCCTGCACTGAGAGAGAAGAGGGTTCTTGGTGGAGCTTAAGAAAGAATTCAAACACACACCAAAGTTAAAGTCAAAAGGAAAGTTTATTACAGAAGGGGTAATGCTCCATAGACAGAGCATGGTCTCCTCTCAGAGGCATAGAGTGAGAGACTAAGAGAGATTCAGAGAGGCAGAGACAATAGAGACGGGGACAGTGAAAGAGAGAGTGAAAACACGGAGAGAAACCGAGAGGAGGACACTGAGAGGGATGTGAGAGGAAGACACTGAGAAGGACCCTGAATGTTTGGAGAATTCACTTTAAATATCGGTCTTTAGTTCCTGTGAGTTACAGTTTAAAGACTTTGTTTACCCATTTTCCTTTGATATGGATAAACCTTGAGGAAGGATAAGATGTAGCACAAAAAGGTAAGAAGAATATGTAGCATGAAAGGCCTGCTGGTAATTCTCAACCTTTAATCCATAAGTTCCCTATGGTTTTAGCCACAGGGAATGAATGATTTTATTTTCTGTAGGGCACCACTTAAAGACTCTGTTTTTCTTATTTTTCCCTTCATGGCATGGGGAAATGTATCGTTAGCAATCCCAACAGAAATCTTTCTTTGTTCTGTAGGTCTCCTCCTGGTCTGGCCATAGGGCTGATCAGCATGTTGCAGTCTCTGAATATAGCTTGATTTAACATTTTAGTTCTCTTGCTTCCTCCCATTATCTTGCTCGTGTACTTTTTCTTCATTCACTCTACCTCCCTGACTCTGGCTGAGAAGGCTCTATAAACAACAAAATATAATTAACACATAATGGTATAGTAAGTACCATCGGAGAGCGGGGGGTACAAACAAGAAGTGCTGCTGGAGGTCAGAGAGATCTTCCAGTTGTTTGGATCAGTTCAAACTGTTCCAATACAGCCTTTAGCCAGGATCCTAAGCAAGAACTGATTTGGTCTTTGGAAACAGGTCACTTTTTCAGCCTGGCTTCCTCTCAACCTCAGACCGTCTTCAAACTCCCCTAATGGGTGAAAGTGAAGTTCCCCAAAACATCCATTATTTAGCGGGAATGCTCCTCCTGAGTAACTTAACACCTTTACCCTATTAAACTGCACATACCTCAAAAGACCCATAAGAAAACTAATCCTCACACAACCCAAGGACAGAAGTAAAAGGCCTATTTCCTCTCACACTGCAGTGTGCCCAAAGTTGCCCACCCTAGGGTTCCCCTTTTACATTAAGATATCATACCACTTTTATTTTCCATTCATAATATATCTATCTATGTTTGTTTTAACACTGTCTATTTGCTCTCCTCAAATCTTTGAGAATTCTTGTTCCAGAAAGAAGGGCTTCCTGTACTCGCTGGTACACCTCTATGTACTGCCCTGGATACATACACTCCAGTTTGAGAAGCAGTCTAAGACAATTTCAGGCCTATACCTAGAATTTTCCTACTCCTCCACCAGTTCCCCACATATATGAGTTTTAACCCAAACCCAATAGTGTAACTTATTCTCATTTGTTAAACATTATCTTGGGTACACTATCTCACCAAAGCAAATTATGCAGAAAGTTGGTCCCACCCACAAAGACGTTCTGAAAGAAGGGTGGGTAGAGACAAAGATGTAAGAGAAATACTCCCAGATGGCTGCAAGAGACACAGAACCACAGAATTTAAGAGAAATCCTGAATATGGATCTCTTTATAAAACAAAACAAAATAACAGCAACAAAAAACACCTCATTTTACAAAGCATCTTAGGCTCAGTGAGGTTACATGACTTGGCTAAGGTCACCACCAGTTTATGGAAAATTTAGGACTAGAACCCATATCATAGTCTGTTTATTCCATAATATATAGAGCTGAGCGAGAGTAAAAGCTAAAGAAAACTGTAAATGATAGGAGAGTATACTGGAAGATAAACAGTCAACTAAAGTGGTAGGGACTCATAAGTACAGGGTGGGACATTTAAATGGAACCGTTTGGAGTCATGTAAACCGGGACGGATTTCGTTATAGCCTCCCTTACGGTACAGAACCGCACGTCAAAACTATTTGCTTTAGTCTTTTGACATATGTGTTTTCTTCACAGAACCCAAGAGGACTGCGTGAGAAGAATTGGGGTAATCTAGGAGAAGTCCGGACGCAGCCCTTTGAAGCTCAGAGTGAAGCGTGGTAGATGGGGAAACCGTTACACATCTTTAAGGAAAAAGGGCTCAAAGAGAGGACCAAGAAGTTTCTGGCAGCAGCGTTGACTGCCTGCTTGTTCAGCCACATCTCACTCCACCAGCGATACTTAACAGGCCCTGCTCCTTCCTGCTTCCAGGTCTTTGCATATGCTGTCCCTCCTGTGTAGAGTGCTTCTCCCTTTCATTCTTCGGGTCTAGTTTATAAGGCCTAACTTCCTCAGAGAAACTTCTATAGCCCTCCGTTAGCTTCTCTCTGCTTTTTCCTCATAGCAGTCAATACAGTTTGTAAGTATATGTTTGTTTGCATAATTTATTGAATGTCTAACTCCCCTGTGAGACTAGAAGCTTTCTGAGAGCAAAGACTGTATGCATTTCATTCACCACTATGCCTGGAACATCGTAAGTACCCAATCAATAATTATAGATTGAACAAATAGGCACAAACAG